AGCGCTATACCCTTCTTCTTTTGTTCATCCAAAGACGGGGTTAGGATAGTGGATTCATAAGTTTTGAGATTACCTCTTAGCCCGTCGATGGTGACATTTGAGACTCCGATGGATTCATAGATTGCGTCTGCCTTTGATCTCCATTCGGGTGTGAGGCTTCGCAGGATTTTCCTCACAAGATCCTTGTTGGTGTACGTCTTCTTGAGAGCGTGAAGGTCGTTGATGATTTTTGAAAACCGATCGAACATGTCATCGATCTTTTCTCCTTCCTTCATCCTGAACATTCCGTACTCCTGCGTTAGGAAGTCAATTTTGGCTTCCCGAACTTGGTCCGTACCTTCATATGTGACCTCTAGCTTGTCCCACATTTCTTTGGCAGTGGTGCAGCAAGAAATCTTACGATAATCATCAGGATTGACGGCACAATACAGCATATTGATAGCCTTGGCGTAGTTCTCCACCTTTTTGATGTCCTCGGCATCAAATTCGTCCTCGGTCTTTGGAACCGTGGTTTCTCCTACTTTCTTCATTGGAATTTGTTCTCCATTTTTGATTACCAACCATAATTGGAAGTTGGTGGAATGGATGTAGATTCTCATACGTTCCTTCCAATAGGAATAGTTGGTGCCATCAAAGAGTGGTGGCCTAGACGTAGACTGACCTTCTCCAATTCCTGCATAGAGATTTCTAGAAGAAGAACCCATGATCGCTTACTCTCAAACGGTTAAGTTTGGACGCGAGTTAGGCTCTGATACCAATTGTTAGAATAAAAGACCAACGCTAGAGGGGGGGGTGAATAGCGTTTGTCGTAGAAATCGCAGGAATTAAAAATTTAAAAGAGAAGTAAAGAGAAGAGTAAGAGGCACACCGAATTTTACCCTGGTTCACCACAACTTGTGGCTAATCCAGCCTCCCAAGAGACTCTCTCGAGCTACACTACTAACTCGTTAAGCTTACGGGTGCTTAACAAACCGTTACAACTTGAGAGTTCGAGTCACACGAACCTCAACGAGTCCTTCAAAGGAAACAGACCTTCCTTTGAATCAACCGAGAGAGATAACATCTCTCAACGTGTCTAAGAACACAAGTACACTCAAGAACGAGACTCTCTTATAGAGTAGATTATGAGTAAACTAAGTACGCTCAAGAACAACTCAACCTTCACACAAGTGGCTCTAGAGAGCTATGGAAAATGATGATATATGAATGCAATGAAAGTATAGATGTTGTGAAGTGAATTTGTGAGAAAAGCAGACCCAAACACCCCTTTTTATAGTGCCAAAGAAGGCTCCAACGGACCAATGCATTAAAGGGGTGATTGGCTTGATTTATGGGATTGAAAAGATTTGGGATCTGCAGAATATTGGCTTCCCATCGATGTTTAGAATCAACCATCGCTGGTAAGCCAATTTTTCTTCTGTTTTGAAGTCAGCGGTCACCTACCCATCGATGGGTACAAGCTTCCCATCGCTGGGTGGGAGGTTGACTTCTAAACAAGGAAATAATCAACCTTTAATGACCACCAACGGTCATGCCTTCCCATCGATGGTATACCCTTACCATCGCTGGGTTCCCATCGATGGGATAGACTTCCCATCGCTGGGCAAGGTCGTTCTGCCTTGTGGTAATTTTGCACCAAGGCTCTAACAGCGATGGGTGGAACTCCCCATCGCTGTTTGGCATGGTTCTGGAAACTGGTTAGGCTGAGGGGCCGCTTACCCATCGATGGGAAGATCTTCCCATCGCTGGGTGAGTGGTTAGTCAAGAACCCATGGTTTTTGCCTTAACCACGGCCTAGCCAACCGATGCGAAACCCGACCAAAAAATTCAAAGTTCTCCAAAATAAAAACCAAGTGTTTAAAACTCTTATTTGATGTATTTGGCTAATAAATCGAGTAAGACACTTTAAAAACCACGTCATTTAAGTGAAAACCACGGCTAGCCATCAAAATACGGCAAAACTTACTAAAAACAGTTTGCTGGTTTTCGCTTTCTACCAAAAGTTCCACAAAAACAACCTCTTGGCAAATTTGTACGGTTTCTCATTTTTGGTTAGTATTTTTCTTGAAAACCACTTGGTTGGTTCGGACGCCAAAAACCATAGCCGATAACCGAGAGCCGAACGCCAGTTTCTGAAACCCGAAAGCCGGATGGCTTGGTTTTTGGTTTGGGCGAACACCAAGTGTTTTTAATGACTTAAACATGTTTGAAAAACATTTTTATGATTTAAGAAGTGCAATGAAGGTTTTTAGCCTAAAGAGCCAAAGTGTAAAGATTGGGTCGGTCTTGATCACAATGAAGACCGACTCAACGACACTAAGACTAAGGTCTTCGTTCTTGGTCTTCTTTTAGCTCTTGTTCTTGTCTTCCTTCTTCGCCTTGTATATTCAAAGTTTGACTTGATCACGACGGTTTGGAATTATCAAAACCTGTCATAAAAACAAACACGGCTTTAGTACGAAAACGTGACATGCCCGTGTTTCAACAGCCTAATCCCAGAGCTCGGGTATAACATTTGGTATCGGAGCCTAGTTGTTCTGCATCCCCAAGGACCAAGGTTCTTCCCTCAAGCTTTCTCCTTCCCCTTTGTTGTACCAACCCTTTGTTCACACCCCAACCATGTCAAATGAATCTCAGCCCATGTCTCATGAAGAGCTCGTTGCATCCAACGCCGCCTTAAAGGCCCAAGTAGAGTACATGGCCAAGGAGGTAGCTAAGCTCAGCACCCTTCAAGGAAGTGATCACGAGGATGATGCTAGTACCAGTAGCACCACCAAGGTCAAAACTAATGACGGGTCTGATTTCAAAGTGGACATCCCGACCTTTGAAGGAAAGAATGACCTAGACGAGTTTCTAGAGTGGCTAGAAATGGTGGAACGCGTCTTCGATTTCAAAGAAGTTTCCGATGAGAAGAAGGTCGAGATAGTGGTCTTGAAGTTTCGCAAGTATGCATCAACGTGGTTGACCAATACTTGCACCAAAATCAGAAGAAATGGTAAGGAACCAGTGTCTATTTGGACTAAGATGAGGTCCCTCTTGAAGAAGAAGTTGTTACCCGCTGAGTACGTTCGTGAGAAATTTGCTAAGCTCCAAACACTTAAGCAAGGTTCAAAGTCCGTGGAAGATTACAACCGAGAGTTCGAGGAACTCTTGCTGAGGTGTGACTTACAAGAGGACGATGAGCAAACCTTTGTACACTACCTTTTTGGCTTGAACCTACAAATAGCCAATACGGTGGAGTTACAAATCTTTGAGATCCTCGAGGAGCTCACCAAGTTAGCCCTCAAAGTTGAGGCAGAAATCAAGAAGTCCAAGTCCCTCTTTTCCAAACACAACCCTACCTATGCACGGCCTAACCCAATCTCCCAAAAACCACCTATTATCCTTCCAAAACAACCCCTACTGCCCACGGCCAATCCCCCGACTACTCAACCCCAACACCGTCCAAAAACCCCTCCTCCTCCTTCCCTACAAGGGCTGATCCCATCAAGAAAGCCCCTATTTGTTTCTGTTGTCAAGGGCGCGGTCACTACGCTAACGAGTGCCCTAACAAGAAGGTTATGGCGATCGTTGAGTGTGACGAAGAAGATTGCGACCGAACATGGGTCGAAGAAGAAGTTGAAGAAGCGGATGAACTAGATGAGTACGTTGGTCCCGATGATGGTGAACTCCTGGTCATTCGTAGGACTTTGAGCACTCTAGCATGCCCCGAGGAACAACTACAACGGGAAAATATATTCCACACCCGCTGTACTGTCCAAAAGAAGGTGTGTTCCCTCATCATTGATAGCGGGAGTTGCACCAATGTGGCTTCCAAAACCATGGTGGACAAGTTGCGTTTAAAGACGTTACCGCACCCGAAACCGTATACGATTCAATGGTTGAATCATAGCAAGGGTTTACGTGTTGACACACAAAGCCTCATTTCCTTAAGCATTGGTGGTTCGTATAAAGACGAAGTATGGTGTGATATCATTCTTATGGACGCATGCCACATCCTCTTGGGACGACCATGGCTGTTTGATCATCGTGTGCAACATGATGGATATGCCAACACTTATTCATTTTTTATGAATAAGAAGAAGATCACCCTTACTCCTTTACCCCCTCCTTCAGGCACGACCAAACCAACCAAAGAACACCCCCCCATTCTTACTCCACTATCTTACAATCCGAGCAACATGAGTTCCATGGGATTAAAGACTTAATCCTTTTGGAAGATGGAGAAACCGAACCCCACACTCCCCCAAAACATCCCCATCCTCTAGCTCAACCAATCCTTGAAGAATACCACACGGCCTCCCTCCTAAACGAGACATACAACACAAGATTGACCTTATTCCGGGGGCTGCCCTACCCAACAAACCGGCATATAGGATGAATCCCGAGGAGACAAAAGAGATTCAATGTCAAGTTGATGAGTTGCTAGATAAGGGCTTCGTGAGAGAAAGCCTTAGCCCATGCGCTGTCCCGGCACTCTTGGTGCCTAAGAAGAATGGAACGTGGCGTATGTGTTGTGATAGTCGATCTATCAACAAGATCACTATCAAATACCGGTACCCAATCCCACGTTTGGAGGACATGTTGGACGAGCTGCATGGCTCAAAAATCTTTTTAAAAGTTGATCTAAGGAGTGGCTACCATCAAATTCGCATCTTCGAAGGAGATGAGTGGAAAACAGCGTTCAAGACAAAGTTCGGGCTGTACGAATGGTTGGTCATGCCATTCGGATTAACCAATGCCCCGAGTACATTCATGAGACTTATGAATCAAGTCTTGAAGCCATTCATAGGTCATTTTGTCGTCATATACTTCGATGATATTCTGATTTATAGCAAGAGCGAAGAAGAGCATGTTAATCACCTCACTTTGGTGATTAAAAGGTTGGACGAAGAGAAGCTATACGGGAACCTCGAGAAGAGCCAATTCTTCTCTCAAGAAACGGAGTTCTTGGGATACTTTATCTCAAGCGAGGGCATCAAGGTTAACGAGAAGAAAACTCAAGCCATTCGAGATTGGCCCATTCCCACCTCTATGCAGCAAGTTAGAAGCTTTCATGGGCTTGCTTCCTTCTATCAGAGATTTGTGAAAGATTTCAGTACCATAACCGCACCCATCACGGATTTGACTAAAAATCAGAAGTTTGAGTGGAATCCCAAGGCCCAACGAGCATTTGAGACGATCAAGGAACGATTAACACATGCCCCCGTGTTAGCCCTTCCTAGCTTTGACAAACTATTCAAGGTAGAGTGTGATGCCTCAGGAGTTGGAATAGGGGTTGTCCTATCTCAAGAAGGGCACCCGGTGTCATTCTTTAGCGAAAAGCTAAATGATACGAGGAGGCGGTATTCCACCTACGACAAGGAGTTCTATGCTTTGGTGCGATCCCTTGAACATTGGCTCCATTACCTTATAAGCAAAGAGTTCATCCTACATTCCGATCATGAGGCCTTGAAATACATCCAAGGGCAACATAAACTCCGACCCCGTCATGCCAAATGGGTCGAGTACATCCAAACCTTCACCTTCACCATCAAACACAAAAACGGAAGCATGAACAAGGGCGCCGATGCCTTGTCTCGGAGACATTTATTACTAACGGTACTTAGTACCAAACTTGTTGGTTTTGAGTGTTTGCAGGAACTTTACAAGGAGGATGAAGACTTCAAGGACACTTATTCTAAGTGTTTATCTCGGCCCCATGGTGAATTTCTTATCAAAGATGGCTATCTTTTTCGTGGTAATCAACTATGCATCCCGAAGTGCAGCGTTCGCGAAACCCTCATCGACGAAGTCCACGGAGGAGGCCTAGCTGGTCATTATGGAGTCGACAAGACTCACACGATGATGAAGGAGCATTACCACTAGCCAAAGATGGAACGAGACGTCGAGCATTTTATCAAGTGTTGCAACACATGCCACCTAGCAAAG